ACAAACGAAGGTATATCGAGAAGCTACTAGTACATGCATACGACCCTAGTCGATGGGAGTCCAACATTCACTGCTGATGTTAATATAATTATTATATTAATTATTATATCACTGCGGAGAGCTCTGTCGGTCCATGTTCATGGCCTAATCATTTTTTATTGTGTTTATCCGTCGTGTTAATATAGACACTTTGTGTGGCAATTGTGTTATGCCACTCATACCAAAGCCATAAGGCGTAATAATGTGTATTAATGTATGATAACACTATAACCGTAGTTAGACCATAGAGTAATAATACTCTATGAGTTAGACAAAATCAACAGTAGTCAGTGGCGTACACAGCTATTTTCAATGTGTAACCCTCTTATACACATTGTCATCCTGAACTATACTTACTAAAATCTATGACTAATATATTAGGTAGTAGGTAAATAACATTATACAAATTGGAAATTAATTTTAATTTATATTAGTGCTTAATTTATATACCTATATATTTTTATTGAGCTATATTTAAAGAATATATTATTTACACTTTTCGAGTTGCTCATGTGAAGATAAAAATACTAACAATTTATCAACTATCATAGGTACTTGTATAACACCCACGGAGCTGTACCCAAATTACATTTTTTTATCAAAATTTTAACTTCAGACGATCATAAAAAATATGAAAATTTGGTTGCTTAGCTTGGACTACAGCCTGGTTGGTTATATCCAGAGCAAAACAGTTTTTGCCATGTCTTACATTTGTAAGGTACATGCGTGGAATGGAAGGAATGTAAAACTGTATAAAATAAAACCGATCTAACATCATCAGTTACAGAATATTTGTAACAGGTACTTATGCTGTGATCGTGATATCCAGTGAGGCGTCGCCGTAGACACTCGCCGCCGCCGACGACGTGAAAACTGACAAACGAAGGTATATCGAGAAGCTACTGGTACATGCATACGACCCTGGTCGATGGGAGTCCAACATTCACTGCTGATATTAATATATTATTATAATTTATTATATCACTGTGGCGTGCTCTGTCGGTACTGTTCATGGCCTAACCATTTTTTATTATGTTTAGCCGTCGTGTTAATATAGACACTTTGTGTGGCAATTGTGTTATGCCACTCATACTAAAGCCATAAGGCGTAGTACAATTGTCGCAAATCCTGGCCAACGATAACGCCCCCTAAAACGCATTGAAAATGTGTTAACTGTCTCGACTGAATTTTGCCATTTTTGAACAAAAAACGTTCTTACATAATAAAAAAATTGGATGGTAATGTTTAAAATCGACTGTTTAATTTATCAGTGGTAATTTCCGAAGAAGGCTTTACAACGACTCGACGGCAATAACTATGGATATTTGGTGTTTAGTAATAATATTTAAAAATAAAAACAATTAACAAAACTAGTGTAACACATTATGGAACATATGATATTTATTACACAATACCAAGACGACCGGCGTTTTTCTTTTATCGATCTGCACGGTACAAAATACGATGCGGCCGACGTCGGGACTAATAGGGACATAAGTTTTTCTATAACTAAGAAATCTAAAAAAACACATGAATACAGTTATTTTTTACAGACATTTTAAGTTCAAATTTGGACAAAATTGCATATAAACACAAAGTATAACAGTTATCATTTTGTTGTAATTCGGTTCCAAAACAGCCCAATTTTACATAGGTACATTTAATATTTTTCCAGCATCACTGATAATATAAGAATAATATTAATTCAACTCTCTCTCAACTCTCTCTCTTGATTATAACGATTATAATCAATATCGAATAACATAACAGAAAACATTATTTTAAACTGTGACTAAATACCTACTACCTATGTTGGAACGCGGCTGATTTTCCGTGTACATCGCCAAAGGCTTTACAAGTCTCCGCAATCGGTGTGGAGTGTCCGCGACAGGTCATCCCCCCCCCTCTACGCACCCGCGGCCAGCGAAGTCCACTACAACCTTCGTCCGTCAGCTTACATCTCTGTCTTACGACCGAGCCTAAATAATATTTAATTAATATTTCACACCATTAGTAACCTTTACCTTCCAACACCCCGCAAGTCGCGGCCGACAACCGCCGCCGTTCTAGGAGCAGTCGCGGCGCAACATTTTTGGTAGCAGAGCGTGCAGTTGTCCGACCTCAGTGGCCATATTTCATAATAACATTAATATATGAAAAATTCAAATATAAACTTATTTTTCATATAATTTAATTTCAAAATAAATTTTTAAGTTATAAACAATTACTAGCAAGTTATAACATATAACGATAATTTAAAAACTATCCTCAATTTGACTAAAGTTAAGACTTGTAGTTTCTTCTAAAAGAATATAAAAATGAATTCTTAAATTATAAATACAAATATGTAATGCTTGAATGCAAATGTTGAATTAACATTCAATTCTAGATATTATGTAATTTCGCATAGCATTTTTTATTTTTTTATAATTATCAAACACTGAAGGGTGAAAAATGCTTTAAAAAACTTTCAGTTTCAAATATTACATTAATTCAAATAACGTTTAAACGTTTAAACACATAAGTATTGAATAACGTTTAAATTGTTTAAAACGTTAAACAGTCATTCGATCATTACGTTTAATATTAATATAACGGTAAACGGTATTTTTTTTTTTGATATAAGCTCTGCTTGGAACACTTCATAATATCTACACGCCGATTAAATACATAGTTAAAAGGACAAAAATGTATGACTTATGGTTGATATCGCTATGGAAATCCACAGGTCGCCGTGCTGTAAAATATATATAATGTATATTGATATACAAATTGTACGCAAACAATTTATTTTTCCCGATTTCAACCATTTAAAATCAAAATTTTGAAAAATCCTTTCTTAGAGGAACTTGACATTGTAATATTCACCCATCCTCAAAATTTCAATTCGATAACTCAAATTTTTTCGGCTCTACATTGATTATTGCTAAAGTAAATTTTCTTTATAAACATAGAGATAACCAAGAGCAAAACTTATTAGGACATTTTTCATTTTAAAGGTATAATATAATATGCGTACATCCTGTAAGATAATAATCAAAATAATATATTTTTTTTAAAAAAATAAAAATGCATAGAAAAGTACACTGATTTCCAATAATAACAGTTAAATAAACTATACTCTTACACAAATCAAAAATCGATATCACGCATATTCAGTATTCACATCATCCTATGCAATCTATGAGCGTAATCGATGTACCTATAGAACAATGCCCGGTGAGGCACGTGAAAAGATATTGTGGGCAAGGGAAAATTTTTACTATTATATATTATAGGTAATAGGTAAAAAGCATACGGCTTTTGTCGGTCATTGACGATTAACTGATGAATGCAGTGCCGCATGTATACTTTATTCAAAGTTACTAATTATAGATCAAATATCAACGAATTGTCAGCAAGTCCAAACCACTCGGTCTTGAGACTTGACGTTTTATACAGAGGCTTAAGCAATGAAGGGGCGCACTAAGAAAGGATTTTTCAAAATTCAACCTTTAACGAGGTGAAAGGGGATTTTATAGCTATATAATAAACAAGCAACGCCGTGACAGGGCAGCTAGTACATATTGAAAACTCATGAAAACAATAAAGCCATAAAGCTGAGATTAATTTATATTATAATCTAATAAATTTTTGTTGCTGTGATTATTTATATTCCCTGTTATTAATTATTATTCTATATTATACTATGCAGCAACTCATCTTTTATCAGCAACTGTGTTACCATTTTTTTATTCAAAGTTATTTGTAAACACACATTAGACACAAATTATACACATATTACACAACACGCGCAACGTAGTTCGTCAGTTTTTGAACGGCGATACCGAGTACCGACCACAGCAGAAGGCCCGCACACTAAGCGTATTAGTAATAGTGCAATTAACTATTATCATACCAATGTAAATAATATTATATCGTAGAACGTCTTAGTAGGCATATTATAGTAATGTTGTATAGAATGCCAAATTATATTCGCTCAATATCGTTTTTCGTACAAGTGACCCATTTAACGAGCAAGACACATATTATTTTAAAAAAATATAACAGTCATTTTTCACTAAAAAAAAGTATTTCTATTTTTTATCGTTGCTACCTATCTATACTTTATTTTTTTAATTTTTAAAATGATAACGTGTAATTTTATTCCTTATTCGAAAGCATAATATTTTTAGAGTTTTTCGATACACCGAAAATGAATTTTGGACAAGTAGTTTATAGCTAAATAAATACACCTAAACCTGAGTGGTAATAAGAACTAAATTAATAGTTGTCGCTATGCTAACTTGAAATCTAGGGTTATATAAACTGTTTAAATGGTTACCGCGACTATTTTTTTTTAGTGTGTTAAACAAATATTTTCAGAATCGATGAAATATGTGTAAAAAAAGTTCTTTGCATATTTTTACGATTTTGACTGCATATTATATGTCATATTTTTATACATTTTAGTGCGTATTAAAATATTATATACCATTATTCCAGCCTACAAAACTCGAGGCGTTTATTAGAAAATAACTATTTTATATATAATATTAACAAATAATGATGTAGAAATATAATGTATAAATTAATTTTTAAAATAATTACAAGTTATAAAAAAAAATCAGTTATGTTTATTTTATTACAACGTTAAGAAATTTACCTGCAATGCAATACAGTATGGAATCTGAATAACATTCAAAAAATTTGTAACAATATTATTATACATTCAATGTTATTCTATTTTAATGCATATTTTGATTTGGTTTTGGTTTGAAGTCTAATCTCAACATAATATTTTGATTAATAAATTAAACTCTCTACCACCAATGTCTAAATTAAAATGTATCTAATAACTACAGTAAAAACATTATGAAAAATTAAAAATTAAAAAAATTAAATATTATATTGAACACAATGCGTAATTATATTAGTAATACATTATAAAAAAAGTAAAACATATTTATGTGACTAAAAAATAAATATAAAAGTTTGTACTTTCAAGTGGACTGAAATGTTCTTAAATAATTATTATAAAAATATATGGATTTAAAAAAAAATTAAAATATATTTTTATCCTTCAATATCTCCGCGTGCGTTGTGATGATATCATGTTTGTTGACACTTTGCAGTATCTCATCACGCCATGTTTCCTTGATCATGTCCGCGGCCTTCTCGGCGATCATTATGACCGGCGCGTTGGTGTTGGCGGCGACCAGTGTAGGCATGACGGACGCGTCCACCACACGGAGTCCGTAAACGCCGTACACCCGGAGCTTTGGGTCCACCACGGCGGTCTTGTCCCCCTCTGGACCCATCTTGGCTGTACCCACTGGGTGGTATGTGGACACGGTGTAATGCCGGACCATGCATTCCCAGTAGTCGTCCGAATGTCGCTGCAAGGTCTGGCAACTGGGGAACGGTACGTCGTGCAGGCGGCTGTCGTGCTGGCGGAAAGAATCGGTCTCGGCCATGGCCATCACAAACTTGATGCCCCTCACCAACGTGTCCACGTCCTCCTTGGCCGTCAGGTAGTTGGACAAGATCATGGGATGCTCGAACGGGTTGGTGTTCCTCAAACGTATTTCGCCACGGCTCTTGGGCCTCAACAATATCTGAAGATA